CATATAATTTATTTGTTGAATTGTCGCTATATCGTACGATGCCGTTGGGGCAGGAGGCAGCAGACTTGTATAACCGCCGGTTATAACTGAAAAATCATCTTTGTAATCGATTTGAGGAGAGATATATAAGGAGAAAAAACAACTTACTTCAGAAAAGCTTTAGGTCACTACGAGTGATCGAACCCACGGCCTCTCGAGTTGGAGTCTAACGCTCTAGCACTGCACCGCAGTCCCATCGCGCTTAGCAACGTACAAACACTGTACACATCTTATTTTCTTGCGGTCTAAGTTATACAAACAAAAACTTGTATTTTTTTGCTGATCGCTGGGATACTGCGGGCCGTTTCTTAGCACGATTAGCATAAATTAGTCTTTAAACTGAGAATTTCCATATGTATTTAGGGTTTTAAGACTACTTTAAATTTAACATGCGGACGAAAAAACTTAATTAGTCATAAAAACTCTAATAAAAAAACAAGAAAGGAAGTTAACTTCGGCCAGCCGAAGTTTATATACCCTTGCAGGTATGCCTACTTAAAATGTTGTTTTTACATTGCCAAAAATTAAAACGCCTACTTTCTTTAAAGTTACAATGGTTTTTCTATTATTTTTTTGATTATTCCTATGGGAGCCATAAGATATAATGGTCCGATCCGGCTCTTTCCGAAATATGTACTACCTGCAACCTTTTGGGAAAGTTTCATCGATATAAGATATAGTGGTCTTATCCGGCTCTTTCCGAAATATGTACTACCTGCAACCTTTTGGGAAAGTTTCATCGCGATAGCTTTAAAACTGAGGATCTAGTTCGCATAGAAACGGACAGACGGACATGGCTAGATGGACTCGGCCATTGATGCTGATCAAGAATATATATACTTTATGTGGTCGGAAACGTCTCCTTCACTGCGTTGCAAACATCTGACTGAAATTATAATACCCTCTACAAGGGTATAAAAAGTGTTGACTCATACAGGAATTGAATCCTCGACCTGTATTTTTAAGCAGCAAAGCTGAAAGTGCGAGTGCTTAGACCGCTGGGCTACCCATTCTAACTCACTTGTTTTGACCTGTCAACTACACACACATGTACATTAGGGTGGACTTATTTTGTATGAAATTTCTAAGGCCATGCTTTCACCCCTTCATATATAGCCTTTTTGTATCCTTTATCCATTAAAGAAAGAAAAAGTAAAAAATAATTCGTTTTAGGCGGTGCGCAACGGCTTTAAAGTTTATTACGCATATTTCAGATTCATCTAGATGCCGTAGACTTAATTTTATACTTTGACAGTATTTTAAAAAGTATCTTAATCACTTTCCCGAGCTTTTTAACAAGGGATGAAGTCGTTGATAAAATAACAATAATAACGAATAATCAAGGACTTTTAGAGTACAACTTATAAATATTACGGTCTCTGAAAAATAAGAGTCAATATCGTTGTATCCTAAGCCAGCATTCCTTCGACGAAAATTTTGATTGGCGAACGCAAAAGTGATAGTTAATCTTCAAAATTTTAAAATTAAATCTCTATTTTATTGTGAGTCACAAAAAAAAAATGGTGAGTCGGGGATCGAACTCGGTTTTTTTTTTTTCGGAGACAGAAGCTCTACTGGCTAGGCTACGTCCAACTGTTAATATTCATGAAATAAATTTCTACTTTACTCTTTTATTCGAGCGAAACCAACAAGTTGACATGTTAAAATCTGACAAGAAATGGAATGGGGTAAATTCCTAGTTTTACACTTAATTTTTAGCGAAACTTTAGGGCCATTGCGCACCGCTTAAACGATGAAATTAAATTTTTCTGTTTTCGCATAAATTTATTGGACACAGAAACCTACCATTTAAGATGCTGAGCTCAGTTGACCTTAAAGAAGTCCACCCTAATGTACATAACATGTTTTACATGTATGTATCCATTTATTGCGTCTTAAAATTTTCGTCATAAAATTTCGCCCTAAAAAATAGGGCAAATTTGCCTTTTTGAATAAACTAACCCTAAAAAAAATTTTCCATGGTGATTTTTCGTATATTTAGGGCTAGCCACCCGTATAATAAAAAAAATTTTCGTAGTTTTAGAGCGACCTCGGTTTTAGGGCGACTTTTCTAGTATTTAGGTAAAAATTTCTATATGTGCAGGGTGCGTGTTTTTTTATGCAGACGAATTTGAGAACGATCAAAACGTGGTTTCGAGAAAAACGCATCTAAACATGCGACATGTAAAATACACATAGATCACTTAGTTTAATGCTCACTCTATCGGTGCCGTTCCAGGGATTCTAGATTCTGCGTGCTTATTTAAAATTTTGTTTTCAAGTTGTCAAAAATCAAAACGCCTACTTTCTACAAAGTTACAGTGAAATTTCTTATATTTGTTTTACTATTCCTATGGGAGCCTTAAGATATAGTGGTCCGATCCGGCTCGCTCCGACATATGTACTACCTGCAATAGAAAGAAGACATGGCTAGATGGACTCGGACTCCACGAACCATTTCTAGTTTTCCATGTTAATTGGGTGCTCCTGAGTAAAAGTCCCATACAAACTTATGTCCCATCACCTACAGGTTCCGCGGTAGGTTCCTGTGTAATCTTTACCTACACACATCTACACCGATGGATCGAAACTCGATGGTCAGGTGGGGGAGGGATCTACTCTCAAACACCTGATGCTCAACATCTAATTCAGACTCCCTAATCACTGCAGCGTCTGGACATCAAAATTGTCAATCCACTCAGTTAGTCAAGCGGCACTTCGCTCGCTCGACTTTATATTATTTTATTCTTCCAATGGTTATGACCAGGCTTAAAAATTAGACTGGGTCGACTTGTATGGGCCTAAAACATAGAATTATAAATAATTATAAATCGTAGGGGGAAACGTATTCTATGAAGAATTCTAACCAATATTGCAGAAGAAACTATATCTTAAAAACAACGTTTGACCCTCCTTATTTGCAAAAGAAAAAACCGAGTTTTGATGAAAAATATCCGAGTAGCCATAAATTTTATACACTGAAATGGTCGCAAAAATATTAATAATTCGTTTGGGCGGAAAACAATCCCTGGGCATTTCTAAGCAATTTTGTCAAAGAGATTATATGCTTACACACAAAAAAAATTGCTTGGTAAAATTGACCAATGAAGATAGTTCAGTAACTATAAAAAATAGTACTTTAACAATAAAAATAGTCGTCCGTGTATTTGTTTTTGCTGTGCGTACTATTAAATAGTTAAACTTCTATTAAAATAGTTATGCTTACGGGTATGTGTATTTTGTTTTTGTACCTTGAAACTATTTTAAATAGTTGTTTATTTATGAACATTAGTTACCCTAACGTAACAATTTTCTTAGTAGAATTGACAATTTTTGAGATTGGGGACTGTTTGACAATTATTTCAGTTGATTTTACCAAGTTTTTTTTTTGTGTGTAAAAGAGTGCAAGAGAAAAATACTGGTATTTCGTTTTACTTTTCAGAAAAATATCATAGTAGCTGATAAATATTTATCAATTTTAAATTCTTCCCTTTGTTAAAATTTTTTGTTTCCCTTTAAAGCATTTGTTCAATACTTTTATTTTGTATATTCGTAACGGCTACTATGATATTTTTCTTATTTTTCTGTCCGTATTAACGCTGAGATCTCGGAAACTATAAAAGCTAAAAGATTGGCATATTGCATGCAGATTCTAGGAGTTCTTACGCAGCGCAAGTTTGTTTCAAAAGGGTGCCATGCCTCCTCTATCGCACAATCGCTTATATACGATTTTAAAAATTTCAATATTTTGGAAAAGTAAAAATGCAGTTTTATTGTGTTTATCAATACCTATCGAAATGTTAATTTTTTAAATCGGACCATTCGTTAAAAAGTTACGGCGGATCAAAGTTTTTATCTCCATCTCCTTCGCACTCCCTTTAGGTAAGTAACGGGTATCTGATAGTCGGGGCACCCGACTATAGCGTTCTCTCTTGTTTTGTTTTAGAATTGCGGAGGGTCAAACGTAATTTCCAAGGTATAGTTTCTTTGAAAATATTTCTTAGAACTGTCCATAGAATATGTTCCGCCCCTATGGTTTGATGACCTCCAAAACGACCCACAATAAAAAAAACAAGAGACAACGCTATAGTCGAGTTGGTGTCCCGTCTATCTAATACCCGTCACTCGGCTAAAGAGAATGCGAGGGAGATGGATATATAACATTTTTTGATTGCGTATAACTTTTTAATGAATGGTCCGATTTGAAAAATGTCTTCCACATTTTGATAGGTATAATTATACACAACAAAATTGCATTCATACTTCTCGGAAATCTTTAAAGGTGTGGGCGCCAGACACATTTTAAAATTGTTAGTGGGCGATTGTGGGCGTTAGAGGGGGCGTGACACTCGGCTAAAATAAACTTGCGCTGCGTAGGAAGCCCAAGAATATGTTTGGAAAACCTCAACCTTCTAGCTTTTGTAGTTTCCGAGATCTCAGCGTTCATACAGACAGACGGACAGACAGACAGGCAGACAGACGAACATAGCTAGATCGACTCGGCTAGTGACCCTGATCAAGAATACATATACTTTATGGGGTCGGAAACGCTTACTCTACGAGTCCCGGGTATAAAAATGGTCAAAAAGACCCTAACCACAAAAATTTGTACAATTTGTCAAGGATATAGGTGTTTGTCCTTTATAATTGTGTGTATTTGTTGTTGTGAAAGTAACTATTTACTTAGTAGAATAGACTATTTTTTGTGGTTGGGGACTGATTGACAATTATAACAGTTGATTTTACCAAGCTCTTTTTGTGTTTATTAAATATACAAAATACTTTACATTTCTTCATTCCGACAATCACAAACAATGTTGTATGCCGAGCGTACATATATTTTAATAATGTTCAATTGTATTATAAAACCATTAGATATAATTCAGTACTATTAGATTATATATTGATTAAAATTGTAAGAAATACGAACTTAATATTTTCCTTTTTTTAAACTCGTTTAGATCCCTACGTAAAGGTTTGGCTTCAGTTTGGAGATAAGAGGGTAGAGAAAAGAAAAACGCCTATATTTACATGTACATTAAATCCAGTATTTAATGAATCATTTAGTTTTAACGTTCCTTGGGAAAAAATTAGAGAATGTTCCTTGGATGTTATGGTAATGGATTTCGATAACATAGGGAGGAACGAGTTAATAGGGCGAATATTATTAGCGGGTGAGAATAAAAATGAAAACTGATCGCAATATTTTATTTTAGGTAACTAATATATTTTTTAATGTCATTTATTTAGGTAAAAACGGTTCTGGAGCATCAGAAACTAAACATTGGCAAGACATGATCTCAAAGCCCAGACAAACTGTAGTACAATGGCATCGTTTAAAACCTGAGTAACTTTAATCTTAATTCAATGACAACATAATAGTAACACCAGTAAGTATATCGGAGAAAACCGTACATGAATGTACATATGTTGATTTATACTTACATACATAGCAATATCATACCAAATTAAAGTAAAAAGGAAAACAATTTAAATCTGCACAAAGCTAATGTTATTATGTTTGAAAAATTAAAATAAAAAAGCCATACAATTTAAACAAAGTAATTGTTCTGATAAGAGCAATAGTTTTATACGTGCTTATCTGTAGAAAAATGTTTTGTAAGAACATTATTAAAAAATATTAACTATTCAATATTGTGAAATTTGTTCAAAAATTGTGTTAGCATCGCAGAGTTTCAATGTGTTCGATCGCCACGAAAGTGATCCCAAACACAAGGATTTTGAGGAAAAAGGCCTGGAAGTTGGAAAAGTGTCTATGTTTGATAATTTTGACTCTTAATACCTAGTTTAGAGTCAAATTACGAGTTAGGGTCGCAATAGTGACTTTTCAACAAAAAATTGCTTTCAGCATAAACAAAAGAATTTAGTAATTCGATTTAGACATCACTAGTTTCAGATTGTTAAAACCTTTCTAACTTTTATAGTTTCCGTAACCTCGACCTTTATAAGGTCAGAAAAGCATTTGCTGCATATTTTTTAAAGAATACAATTTACCAAATACAATATATTCAAATACATTTAATAAAATGTATATTTTAATTACTGTATGAAAACGAAGGTCAATTTTGCAAAATTTGTTAAATACGTTTTGCTAGATTTGTACAATTTATTTTCATTAGGTTTCTATTTTTCACTTGAAATGATTACAAATTAAATCAGTCCAACTCGTATTCGCTAAAAATTTAACATTTTCATACAGACGGCAGTAAATAAATGAACATGGAATTATATTTGGGGAAAGTTCTATTTTTTCAACACCAATTTCGGCATTTTATAAAGTAAACGAAACGGAAACGGTACCAAAGTTGAGTTATTAATTTGTATCAGATAAGAAAGTTGTAAACGTCTATCGGTATATATTTCCGATGTAGACATCTGATAAACTTAATGAAAAACACAGAACTTACTAAAAATGTATATAATACGATTGAATTGTTAAACTATAACATTAAATAGTCTAATAATACGAAAAACACATTGTTACATGGTTTTAAATTAAATAAAATGGAGAAAAAGTTATATTATTCTTACATATTCTTTAATCACATAATGTATTGAATGACAGAAATGTAGGTTATTTAAATAGAAAAGGATTGCATTAGCACAATAAACCACAACATAAACCATTTTTAAAAGTAATTATACAAAAATTAGCCAACCATTGCCGGAATAAGCGTCAACTGCGAGAAAACAAAAATGAGACAGTAAGAGAGAGAGAGAGATGAAAGAATAAAGAAAATATATTTATAATTGATAATTGAAACTGAGTTTAAAAAACGAAAAATCGAAAATACAACCCACCTTGAAATTACATATTTGTTATATACCTGTTAAAATATTATTAACATAATTTATTCATAGCAGCAAATAAAGCATTCAATAAGAGTCAATAACAATGCATGAAATTCCTGGTTGATGGGGTTTTTAGTTTAAGGAACATCTTTATAAAACAAGAAAGGAAGCTACCTTCGGCCAGCCGAAGCTTATATACCCTTGTAGATAAAAGAATACTCACTCGGTGCAGTTCCAGGGATTCCAGATTCAGCGTTTCGATTTATTTCAATTTTGTTTTTAAGTAGTCAAGAATCAAAACGCCTACTTCCTACAAAGTTATATATTTTATATATATATATTTATTTAAAGTTAGCAAATATCTGCCAACATAAACATAGTACCCTACTCACATCAAGTGGAAGGGGGCAGGGACAGGTAAGTTAGGATGTTTGTTACAATTAAATTAACAGAGCATTCCGAGAATATCAAAAAATACAGTTCATTATATTGCGAACATAAAACGCGAAATGGATCATGTAACTCAAAGTTAGTTTTACAAATATCGAGGGCAATTGGTCGAAAGTGCCGAGTAGACCTTACAGGAATGGAGAAACGAATTTGACCAAGAAGGTAGCTTGAATTTACAAGTCCAGTAATTAATTTGTGCAGGAACATAACACCATGGCACGTTCGACGATCCTTGAGGGAGGGCAGGTTAAGTAGACGCAGTCTATCCACGTACGATGGCAGGTGTCGATGTGTTTCCCAGTTTAAACCACGTAGAGCAAACAAAAGGAACTGTTTCTGTACCGACTCGATAAGGTCCTGATAAATGGTATATTGGGGTGACCAAACACACGAGCAGTATTCAAGAATTGGACGAACCAAGGAAATGTATAAATGTTTTGTGGTGTAGGGGTCCTCAAATTCCTTCGACCAACGCTTAACAAAGGCAAAAACGCCTTTTGCTTTACTAACTATTATACCAATGTGATTAGAGAAATTTAAGTTGTGGTTGAATAACACTCCAAGGTCTGTAACGGAATTTATGCGTTCAAGTTCATTCGACCCAAGTTACAATGAATTTTCTTATATTTGTTTGGGAGCCTTAAGATATAGTGGTCCGATCCCGCTGGCTCCGACATATGTACTACCTGCAATAGAAAGAAGACCTTCGGGAAAGTTTCATCGCGATAGCTTTAAAACTGAGAGACTAGTTCGCATAGAAACGGACAGACGGACAGACGGACAGACGGACATGGCTAGATAGACTCGGCTATTGGTGCTGATCAAGAATATATATACTTTATGTGGTCGGAAACGTCTCCTTCACTGCGTTGCAAACATCTGACTGAAATTATAATACCCTCTACAAGGGTATAATAAAGGTATTTACTGGCTAATTTTGGCTACCTATCTTTGGTCACGTAGTTACGTTAAGCCACGACAATAAGCATTATTGAATACGAATTGCAGCCAATCCGCGATCCCACTGAAAAATTACATGATTGGACACCCGAACAGGTAATCCACCTTTAAAGTTAAAACAACCACCTTTTAAGTTAAAACAACAACAAAAATTGACTTTAGTGCTCAATTTGTTTCCCATAAATATACATATCAGGGATATCAGATATATTATTGCCTTGTTTTAAATGTAGGGGAGAGTGGGGCAATTTCGTCACTGGGGCAATTATGTCACCTGCAATATCTTGGAATCCATAAGTCGTAAAAATATATAATTATTGTTTTAGTCCTTCAAGACAGCATGACACAACCAATGCATTTTTTTTTGCACAAAAGGTCAAGATAATCAAGCTATAATATTAAATGTCTTTTAATAGTTCAAAAGCTACATTTAGTTCTCGACGAAATTTTTTCTGTATGCCACAATTGAAAAGGGATAAGATACAGTTTTTTTTATATAATACACAGTGCTATAATGTGCATTTCTGCGTTAGTGATTTTTAACTTCGCGCATAATTTCGGAAGAAAAATAATTATTTCTAAAAAAGTACTGTGTGGGGAAATTTCGTCACCCTATGCTTAGGGTAAATTCGCACCTATTTTAAATACATATTTTTTTATTTGACGAGCTTGCTAACGAACAGACTACCAGCAGCAGCAACAAATATAGGACGTCAACAAAAATGGTACGTTTGATCAGTGTAGCATATTTACAGGCGTTAAACTCCCTACAATTTTTAGGTGACGAAATTGCCCCAGTGGTGTGTCCATTTTACCCCCCTATGTGGTGGGATTGCCCCAGTATATTGGTTTTACTTTTTAATTTTTTATAAAACACCAAGGTTATTAAAAAAAGGGGAATGTCACATTTTAAAGCTTGGTGCTAACCGCATTTAACAATAAAAATAAAAATATGATAACGTTTCTCAAGATGGACAAAAAATAGCTTTAAAAAAAATTCTGACAAAATTGCCCCACTCTCCCCTACTTTTTAGGGCCGTTTTTTCGTCCGTTTGGTTAATTTAAAATAGGGTTAAAACATTGAAATCGCATAGGAAATCAGAGTTTTAACCCTACTTTAAATTTAACATTTTGGATTTCAAAACCTGAAAGTACTCATCAATACGATTTCAGTTCCATATTACGTTCTTCTGGAGAAGCACGCGGTTGGATATTATAGTGATTTAAAAATGTAAATTAAACATTAACTATAGCTCAAGAGTCCATTGAATTTTTATTTGAATGTATTAAGGTTTATTATAGGTATTGACCCAAGGATTAAAAGTGGCGAACAACGGTTATTGGAAAAGTGCAGCTATCGTGAGATTGTATTTTAATACCAAACGCTATGTTTTATTTAAACTTTTGTGTCTACAGTTTTATATTCACTGTTTTAACCAAATGTAATAACTTGTTGTACCTTTCTATTTCTTGACCTAAAATAATTAAGATACATTGAGGTACATTTATAAATCAATTTTTACAGAAAATCTTAAAGGGGGAAGAAATCGAATTTTCTGGAATTTTTTTTTGCCAACTGAAAAAGCCAATTGAAAATTTCGTTTCGAATTCCCAAGTTAAACTGCGGTTTCCGAAAAGTTCCGCGACGCAAGGATTCTTAGCAAAAGGACCTCAAAGTTCGAAAATTGCTGAAATTGGCCAACTTTCCAGAGCTCTCAGAGGCAAACTGATACATTGGTTGGTTCGATGTTAAAGTTTTTTAAAAGATACACTCTTTATCTTTCAAGCCCTATACTTAGAATTATTTTATGATTTTTTTAAGGCAGAAACTAATTCTAGAAAACATAGTCAAAAAACATAAAAGTATACAGCTGCGGTTAAAATAGTAGTAGTGTTGCCGCTTTGTGTATTTAAAAGTTTGTTGTTGTATTTGATAATTCCTGGTAATATTGTATTGATTATAATTTTACTATTAGACTAATTGGATAAAAAAAGTTACAACATCAAACTTTTAAAAACACGTCAAGGAACTTTTTGGAAAAGGCAGTTTAACTTGGGAATTCGTAACAAATCCAAAAATATAGCATCCATTAAGGTAAATTTATGATGCTGCATAGTGTAATTTTTGATCTAGAACAAAAAAATCAAGTTTGATTAATTTCTATACATCAGCAGCTATCGATACCCTTAGGATTTTTTTTTATAATGATGGACGTTGATGCACTACGAGCAGTACAAACAAGTGGCCCAACGATACCAAGCACGTGCTTGTTACGCGCGGGACCCTTTATCAATTAGGGCAAAAATGCGAGTTCGCGAGGAAAAGACATGAAACCAAATACTACAAATACTACAACTAAGATTGAAGCAAATGAGATAAAATTTTAGTTTTTAATACGGGGATAGATGTTGAAGTGCAAATTAAATGATAAAGATTGTTATAATTTTTACATAGAACACGAAAAGGCTCATGCAGAGTAAAATTTGATGTACATCGAGGCAAATTAAGAGGGTAATAATTTCGTGTTAGTCTAACGGGAACATTAAAAGTTAAACGGTTTACCAGTTCTACGGAATCAATATCACCTCTTATAAGATTTTGCATAAAAATAGTACCAAGCATTATTCTACGGTTTTCAAGTGTAGGTAAATTAAGCAATAGTAATCTACTCTGGTAGGAAGGTAGCCTTACGTTTTGATCCCAGTTCAAACTACGAAGGGCAAAAAGAAGAAATTTTTTTTGCACCGACTCAATACGGTCGATGTGCACTTGATATTGTGGACTCCAAACTGAAGAACAATATTCCAAAATAGGACGGACAAGGGAGGTAAATAATAATCTGGTTGTAT